ATAAACCCACAGGGACCCCAATATAATGTATAAATAAACGTACAGGAACCCAATATAATGTATAAACAAACCCACGAGGACCCCAATATAATGTATAAATAAACCCACGGGGACCCCAATATAATGTTTTAATAACCTACAGGGACCCCAATATAATGTTTTAATAACCTACAGGGACCCCAATATAATGTATAAATAAACCCACAGGGACCCCAATATAATGTATAAATAAACCCACAGGGACCCCAATATAATATATAAATAAATGTACAGGAACCCCAATATAATGTATAAATAAACCCACGGGGACCCCAATATAATATATAAACCTACAAGGACCCCAATATAATATATAAATAAACCTACAGGGACCCCAATATAATGTATAAATAAACCCACACTGACCCCAATGTAAGGTATAAATAAACCCACACACAGCAGATTATATTGTTAAATTTTGAGGGTCCCAAGAGATGCCAGTGCTCCCCCCCAGGCTATGACACACGATATTTGTATGATCAATATTTCCTGTATGAATCTCCTGGACCCTGTGCGATCCAGTCTCGTACCACCCTGTGTGACTGACACTCCACTCACCTCAATGTGAGTCACCCCCCCCCACACTTATCAGGATTTTGTCTGTCTTTATTCCACAAATAGAAGATACTACGCAGCCCACTAGCTGCCTCCAGCCTCTCACATCAATGACATAAAGCGATGTGTTGCATCTGGGGTAGACTTGGCTGTATATCCCAGCAGCAGGACCCCCAGGAGCTGAGAGACACACAGACCACGTATCCAGCAGCTCCCCACATATGGACTAAATTAGACAAAGTGCAGCCTGAGAATGAAGGCATATCCACTGAAATTATCCACTGGCTATCATCAGCATACCATGTCTTGAGAATGAAGACATTGAATTTAACCCTTTCCCAGTTTCGTCACTAACAGCAAACCATAGCTGAGGATTGAAAACAAGTCCACAGAATTTAACCCTCTCCTAGCATTGCCATTAATAGTATAAATGACGGGCGAAAAGATGAATAGATAACAGAGGAAGAGAAGATCTCATTGGTCAAACAATACGAGGGAGATGCACACTGAGAAGATGGAGAGTTTGGGCTGAAGCTGTGTACTGCAATCATTCTGCCTTTTTAGTCATATCTGGACTATCCTTGGTCTCTTCCAGCAGTGAAGTTCCAAACACAAAGCTTCTTCAATTTAAGTCAGTGGGTGTGTGGAAATAAAACCCCACATTCCTCCATGGAAACCCACCTCCTT